GGGGTGGGGCCTGGCTCTGGCCGCCGGGGAAGGTTCTCGGCGCTCTCGGCGCTAGACTACCGGCCCAGCCAGCATAGGCCCAGGAACAGCACGAGCTTGGACGGGGCTGCTAGGAGACAGACGCAGCTCTGCGGGGATCCCGAGTCCGAAAGAGAGGCCAGGCAAAAAAAGTGAACAACTCTAAGACACCAGCCTATCAGACCACACATCTGCCATAAACACAGCCTCCAGCCACCGACAACAGAGCTTTTTGATTCACTCCCTCCCCAACCAAAAAAAAGTTACGTGAGTAACCTTCTGTTCTGACCTCCCCCACCCTCAAAGAGGCTGACTTTTCACCACTGGCCAAGCTTTCAGGCGGTCTCCATCAACTGACAGTTTAGCACATCGTTCCTGCCGAGAGGCATCTTCATAAAAACCTTCAGATCACAACCTTATGAAAGGTCCCCATGACACCCTACACACAGAATTGTCCTTCAGACTTGTATTTACTCCTTCATACATTCCATGAAATTGTTTGCATCAGGTGACTATTTCAACTTCTTGTATTTGAGAAGTCAAGTTTATTCACGATTAGCTTAAGAGAAAGGCATTTCTGCAGGTGTTTACACCCATGCATCATCTCCCCACTTGCTGGTTAACCCTTGGGCTGCATCTCCTGTCAGTCCCTTATTCTGAAAAATATGATTTTCGGACGTTGCTCCTTGGTTTTAAAAAAAATTCCAGCCGGGCAGTGGTGGCACACGCCTGTAATCCCAGCACTAGGGAGACAGAGGCAGGCAGATGTCTGAGTTTGAGACCAGCCTGGTCTACAGAGTTCCAGGACAGCCAAAGTTACACAGGGAAACCCTGTCTCGAAAAACCAAAATAAACAGGAATCTAGTTGAAAAAAGCAGCAGTGAATTGTCATCTGTTCCTCTCCTTCAAAGGAAGACCACTTGGTGACAGAGGGTAGGAATCCCTCTAGTGGTAAGGCTTACTTAAAAGTGCTGGGTTTCGTGCTTGCAATACCAGCATTTGGCAGTAGGCAGGAAAATCTCAGTTTCAAAGCCAGTTTGAACACACCCCCCATTCATACCAGGGAGCCCTGGTTTCACCCAGCTTGTATGCACTTAGCCCCAGATGTCCGTGTCAATTCTGCTGTACTGGATCTCTGACACTCTAGTAGATTAGGAAATGTTTCCACTTTTTGGAACACAAACCATCACACGAACAGCACTAAAGTTTGCATGCGTACTGAATGTTTTATTACTAGATTATAAAAATAAAATACAAAATAATTTTAAAACAGAACTTAAAACACTGTACAAAGCTTTAATATGGTACAAATGGGAAAATTAAATAAATAATTACACTTTTATGTACAGATGGCCTATACAAAAGCACTCCATGTTTTTCTTTCAATGCTCTATGCCCTTGGTTGCCTGAGCAAAAACACATAAAGGGAAGACGTGTGGAGGGGAAAGGAATACAGCACAATACATTTAAAAGAACTTCAAAGAGCAATTTCTCATCTCTTTAAGAGGATAGTAAAACAGATTAAAGTAATTTAACTCATTTATTTTATCCAATAAGAGAATTCCGGTTGTGACTAAATCTGATGACATTTGCCATAATAGCTTATAAACTTAACATTTATATCTAACACAAAATCAGACATGCCTCCTTTGCTTGAATTTGTGAATAAATTGTCTGATGAAGTAGGTGCTATTTTAAGAAAGGTGTCAAAGGGAAATGAGAACTGTAAATCAAAGAAGAGCAAGGTGGCGCAAGCAAGGATCATCAGATCTGTTCTTTGTACTCGACCCATCTAATTCAATCTCATCTAAGGTTTTTGCTCTGCTGGGATGATAGACACAGACCACCAAGTGTAGGTAATCCAATTTCAACGTCCTGAGTGGCCCAGTGCTACATTTCCTTTGTCTTAAAAGATATGTTTCCTTTATTTTCCTGTATTTTAATTTCTGAAGTCTTTAACTTAGAGAACTAATTATGCTAATTGATGAAGAGTTCAATGAAACTATTTTAGCCAGGCGTGGTGGTAATGTACACCTTTAATCCCAGCATTCCGACAGGCAGAGGCAGGCAGATCTCTGCGTTCAATGCCAGCCTGCTCTACAAAGCTAGTTTCAGGACACCCAAGGCAAAACAGAGAAACCTTGTCTTAAAAAACCAAACCAAAACAAAAAGAACTGTTTTGAATAAAGTCTCAAAGCTTTCTTTTCATCAAACTCCCTAAAATAGATCATAGCCAAACTCTGTAGCCTTGTTTACTGCTGTAGATGAGCAGAAACACCTGGCATAATCTTACGTTTGCTCGTGATACAAGTGAATTTTTGAGGACTTACTTAAATCATGTTTTATGAGAGTTTTAAAAAGCATCATGTGCAAGGATAGTCTACATAAGACCTAGGTTTACTAATGTCTTTAGTTGAACAATCATGTGTACAATACAAAACAATTTTAAATTATAGAGAAATAAACCTATCCACTGTTAGTGCAAAACTATGTTATCAGCAAATTCTGTAATTCTATAGTCTCAAAGATCTGCCATTCATCCTGATGTTGGTCTAGAAACTCTGGCTGAAGGTACCAGAGAGGTCAGCATCACTAGTCTACAGTGTGGATACTATCACCCTCAACTTAGAGAGGACAGAAGCTTGTTACATTGTAAGGGCAATGGAAGGAATGCCACTTTACTTTTGTTACAGGGTTTCTTAAAACCACGGTTTGAGTGTAGTATAGAAAGATAATCCTATTACCTCAAACATGCCTTGAGCAGCCTGGCTATTAGTTGTTATGTGGGAGAGCAAATCCTGAAGTCATACTCAGTAAATCTTTGCCATTTAGCATCTTGAGATTGTGTGAAACCATGAGACGATCTTGTCTCTCATTTTCTGATACAAATCCTCTCCCAAGAGGAAGACCTTAACTGAAAGCCTACATATTTTACCCAGATTCCCCTCAAAGTGAATAGGGGTTCCTGTCCCACACTTAGGAGTTCCCTAGGAACTTTAGGGGTCCTTTTCCTGCAGTTCTGGCAAGCAATGTTGGGTAACAAGATTCTAAAGGCTGCAAAATTGTTAAATTTCTGGAGAAATGGCCAAAGTATGGCAAATCCCCAACAACGAGGAGTTTCCACTTTACTTCGACATTCTCAGAGGACACACTAGAGCTTTGTAAGGTTTTGCTGAGGACGGGAAGTGGGGTGTACCGATAAGCACTTGGTACATACCAGGCACCACAATCCCCACACTGTCCAAGCTGTGGAACTGCATACGTTTCCTTCCATAGTAAGTAAAGGTCTAAATATGCGCCACTGTGACTTTTGAACTTGGGTGTATGTCGGCATGTACGCACTACAGCAGTAGCATTGATTACATGCTGTAATCCTATAACACATTTGGGTTAAATTCTAAGTACCTATCCTGCAAATATATTGTCTATAAAACCAAATTAAAAAAAATTAAAAAAAAAACAAATTCAAGAAAGTTAAACAGTGCAGTTTGACTCACCTATTACCTCAGTGGAAGAAGTGCTAAATGACCTCTCCCCAGAAACAATAGCCCAACACAAAACAAGAAATAGGCTCATATTAAAAAGGGAATGTAAACAACTTAATCCTTACATGAACATGACAGAATATTTAAGATGTGAGATATAAAAGAATAACTGGAGTATGTGCAATGCACAATATATACATACATATATGAAAACTTAAAAAAATTAAAAAGAATGTATTTTTGTTTTGTTTTTGAGACAGGTTCTCACACTTTAGCCCAGATGAACTTGAAATCCCTATGAAAGTTGAGGTTGGCTTTAGAGTCCTATCTTCCCACCTCAGCCCCTCAAGAACTGGGTTAGAAAAACAAGCCACCATGCCTAGCTAACAAGTTTTTAAAACATGAAAAACTTTGATCTCCAAAGCTAAATCTAGATTATCTACAAATATATTTTAAGATAGCATTTTCAAGATGCATTTTTCCTTAAGCCACTAAATTGTGGAGCCTGTCACCAATTCCTAATGTTAAGAGTAGAAATGTAAAATTTTCTGCCCTTGAAGAAAGGCACCTGTTTGTCATCAAGGTTATTGGGTGTAGAAAATCTCATTGTGACTTAGTTAGCTATCTGGTCTAGGTTTATAAAACATGCAGCAATGTATACTTTGTACAACTGATGCAATCATAGAAACAGTAGCCTAGGAGTCTGTGGCTGGGAAGAAATCTCCGGTGCCAGCTGAAGCTCTCAGTTCCCACAATGGCCAGGAGTGAAAGAGACAGACATACTGCACATGTAGAACACCACGTCAGCATACAGTGGTTTCGTATGCAAGAGCAAATAATGCAAAGTGGGTAATGATGATAATGGGCCCTTGACCATTTTGCTACTTGTTTGTTTTTTAGGCCTTGATTAACTTGTAAGGCAACTTTTACCAAAAACATTCACTGCAAATCATGCAACTAAAAACCTAAAAGGTTAACTGTGCTCTTATCTGCAAGGCCAGCTGTGTACCAGGGCTGGAGATAAGTGCTTGGCTGCAGACAGCTTCACTGGAAGGTGACTTAAAACCTGTATCTTAATGTTGAACTGGACATGATCCAATTTCCTCCTCTGCTCAATATCCATTGAAGTCAAATGCATTTAGGCTACGCAAAATTACTAGGTATGATTTTAATACTTCACGCAATTCACAAAGCCTGAAAGTCAGTAGTAAAATTTGGGGGCAACATTAGGAACTAAGCTATTTTTAGGAACTAAGTCCATTTTTTTTCCTCCACTGAAATAATCCCAGGGACCACGACAAGGGCAGGTGTGAGTGAATGATCTGTGCAGATGGAAGCCAGGAGGTACTTGTTTTCCAGAAGATAATTTAACTTCAGTCTCACACTGCTTTCATTGTAGCTTTGCTCATATTTCTCACCTTAAGTAAAATAGTTAAATGGATAATCTGTGGCTGAAATTTCTCAAAATAATGAACTGACAAAGCCAAACCAAAACCAAAGCTTGATTCTCTGGATTATACTCCTGATCCAAAAGTGTGGCTGAAGGTTGCCAAGTTCTATTTCTAACCTGAAAGAACTGTAACATCAAAAAGCACAAACTATGCTCATTAATCTCTTTTGTGTGTATATGTTGCGGGGGTGGAAACAGGGTTTCTCTGTGTAGCTCTGGCTGTCCTGGAACCTACTCTATAGACCAGGTTGGCCTCAAACTCAAGAGATCTGCCTGCCTCTGCCTCCCAATTGCTGGGATTAAAGGCATGCGCCTCCACCACGTGGCTCAGTTTTTTAATCACTATATCAAGACAGCACTTAATAAATGAACCTACTGATACATAAAATATAATTAGTTCATTTCCTTTTCTTCGGAGCAAAAACATCTTTGGTTGGCTCTTTTCCCTACATGCAAAATAAAATATTCTCACACAATGGGGCCACTTGTCAGTATTTTGAATAGTTTGTTAATGACATGTAAAAAAGGAAGCAACACATTAGAAGGTTGGAGAAAACAAACCAGAACAGAAAACATCCTCTGTCATGCTGCCATCACCCTGGGTTCTGACTATCAGCAGAAAAATTCAGAAAAAAAGTCTGGGCTGTATTAGCTTTCCCAGTGGTAACTGTTAACACATTTCTGACTAGAGAGGTCAATATTAAAGCTGACTACTTTTAGCATCCGTTAGCTAATGTAACAAAAGAGAAATAATTTCTTAGTTCTCCTACATCCCATCCCCACTCCCATTCAAAAGAGTGACATGAAAGAGGCAACTTTCAGGAAATGTTTTAAAAATCAACTGATGCCAGATCCATAATTATAATGCCCATCGATCCACTCTAACCATATGGACAGAATTATGTGGCTAACAGGAGTAATCTTTGAGCCTGTATTACAAGCATAACCTGTTTAAAATTTCACCTATTAAAATACTTTCTAAATGAAAATTAAGTATCTTATACCTTGGCTTGTTAAGGACTGCCAACTGTTGCACTATGCACCTGGAAGGCAAGAGGAATCTTAGGTGTCACATACCCAGAACATATTTTCAGACAACGAAGACAGGCAATGCCAAAGTGTACACGAGGCACACAGTAGGAAAGGAATTTCATCATCTAGGATTTTGAAATTACAAATGCAGAATGAGAAAGAATGGATTTATATAAGCATATGTCTCTATATTTATAAATATTTATATAATTTACCATGAAAGACATGCAAGTAGTATTGCAGCAACTGTTCTACAATATAATACACAAGGGTCAGTCTCCAGTTGTAACAGATAAACAGTAAATGTGCCTTATTTGCTGCACTGCTCTGAAATGCTTGAGCCTGGAAAGAAACTAGATTACACACTATGCCACACTTCTCAAGGGAGACCTTATGTCTCAGTGTAGTGTCCCAATTTTGAAAATGCTCAATACAGAAAGTAAGTGCCGCATCGGACAGCTGGGATGCAGCAATGAACATGCTCACTTAGTGAAGAATACACTTCGTCTCCACCCACCCTTACCTCAGATTCAATTGTTTTAGGTTTGGCAGCAACACAAGGTCAAAGAGAAAGTATATGTTTGTTAGAAGGCAAATTTCAACAGCAGGCAGATCAATTTCCCTTACCTCAATAAGGTTTTTATCATACTAAACACTCATAGGGCATCAAATAGCCCACTTAAAAAGTCTGGTACTCTTTAATTTGCCTGATTTTGCTAGAAAGAGAATGAGAATAGAACAAATACAATCATCCTTACAACTTTAAATTGAGATTATGTGGAGATCAGGCTATGAAGCCTAAGCATAGAATACAAGAACCAATTTATAAAAACATTGAAATAAAACTAACCTAAAGTTATTTCCCCAGATAGTCATTCCTTATTGGCTAAGTTTATATAACTAAATGTATAAAATGTAAAATATGAAGATTATAAGCCTCAATAACGTACTTAATTTCTTTCTAAATCTCTAAAAGTATAAGCCACATTCCAAAGTGTTGTGCTTTCCTAGTGCCATCTGGAAGGCTGACACTAGAGAGAGCGCAGGGAGGACATAAAGGGAGCTGTCTCCTCAGGTCAGCCTCCTTCTACAGGAGGAGAAGTAGTTAGGTACGAGGGGATGCTCCTACCTTTAAAGACACTGTCCCACTCTCTGTCCCTCTCCAAACAAATCTGCCCAAAACAGCTATAGCTGGACATTGCTTTTTTTTTTTTTTTGAGATAAAAATATGAGTTAAAAACTGTGGCTCAAAGGAAAATAGCAAGGTTTGACTGAATAAGGGCAAATGGATTTTAAAGTGTTAGTGTGTGCTGCTGAAACCTTTATTAGGGTGAACTGTTAAAATAAGAGGAAAGGAACATTAATTTTAAAAAATGTAAAACCTGGAAAAGATACTAGGAATGAATGGAAAAAAAGGTGTGGATTCACTAAATAAGCACACAAACCAAATATACCCAAATATTAGTTTCCTGGCAACAGGCTTCTTATATATTTGGATGTCAGCACAATGACTCTCCAAGGTTAGGAAGTTGTAAAGAAAAATATCAAACACTTTTGCTTAAAATCCCATTCTATTTCCTATCCTCAATTTTATGTTTTGAGAGCGGCTGTAACAAGAGCTCATGTAACAAGTTTCTTCCCCTTGGATTTTGCTGGACTGAAGCATTTGACTCCTGATCTGCTTCCTACCTGCCCTAGGTAATTCCTTAGTATGTACTTATGTCTTCTTATCAAATAACTGATCATGTTACTTTCTTTTGTAAGAGAAGATCAACACTGATTGTTTGAAACAGACAGTACAGGGACACACATGCATCAGGTCTAGGAGGAAGATCTCACACCTTTCCCAGAGATGCAGCCCACTTCCTTCCTTATCTGCTGAGTTTACTGGCTGGCTTACTCTTCCCTGGGGGAGTTTTAGAGCTGGCTGAGTGGTGGTGGAGGCTGCCAGATCCTTTGGGGCCATTCTTGCTGGGTTTGCAATGCTCTTGTTGACAGGACCTCCTGGAGGACGATGATCCTGAGTGGCTGGGGGGTGACTTGCTTCTCCCCAGATGTGGGGACGAACTCCTCTGGTCATGGTGGGGTCGTCCAGCCCTAGATGGTGAGGAACTAGATGTTCGAGGCAAGGATGAGCTTCGAGGAGAGGCACTGGGACTCCTGCGAGGTACTACTGGACTCTTGGGTGGTGTTTTTGGATTGTGAGGAGATCCTGGGCTCTTGGATTGAGGAGTACTCCTGGGTTTCTGAGATCCATTTTGAAGAATTTGGGCCAGGCGAGAGAAAAGGTCTGAGTCAGAGTTACTACTCCCTAGAACTTTGTATCTGCGTAGCCTTAAAAGAATAGAGAAGAATTAATTATTTTGGATATAGGACCTCAAAAATTCATTATAAGTGTGCTTAAAAGCCACACTGTCCCAAATCATAATTTTATGAAGTATGTCAAAATCAGGAAATACACTAAACAGATACTGAGTGTCCTTTTCACGTGTATACTGTATGTGACACTGGACAGATAACATCTGCTGTGTCTCTTTTTCCTTTTGATTAATGTTTGTTTCCTTTGACAAGGTCTTCCTATGTAGCCCACATTGGTCAGGAGCTCAGTATGTGACCCAGGCCAAGCTGGCCTTAGTGTGACATTTTTCTGCCTCAGCTTCCCAGGTAGTAGGATTCTAGATATACCTTAGTTTGTACGGTTTTTAAAATCCCAATAGGGGTCAGGGGAAAGGCTTGGTAGGTAAAGGCTCTTGCCATGAAAGCCTGGTGACTTGAGTTTGATCCCTGGAACCAACATAAAGGTGGGAAGAGAGAACCAATTCCACAAGGTTGCCCTTATCATAGATGGACCATGGCACACCACCACACACACATACACACTCTCACACTCATTTTAAGTAAAGACTTTAATCTTTAAAGGGTTCTGTTATATAGTCTCAGGCTAACTACCCATTCTTTTGCTTCAGAATTTCCCAAGTGTCATCATTGCCACCATGTCTAGCAGTAACCAAAATTTTTTGTTTTTATAATGGTTTTCTAAGACAGGCTCTTTCTTAAGTGACTGAGCTGAAACTCACTGTGTAGGTCATTATTGCCTTGAACTTGTTCTGCCTCAGTGTCTCAAGTGCTGGCATCCATGTGTGCTATCACAGCAATCTTTATAATCAGTTCATATGGGAGTATGGGTTGTCTTTGTACCATCTTTGTTAGTTTAATCCTTAAGGTCTTAAGCTACTGTTAATAACAAAGTAGAATGTTAGTCTGAATGGTATTTAGAGGTGGGGCCTCTGGGAAGTGATCAGATTACATGAGAGCGCTAGGGTGGAGCCTCCATGATGAAATCCTGGTGGTCTTGTGAGTAAAGGGAGACTCACATATGTAGAGATATACAAGTGTTCATGTGCTGTGACTAAGCGGGGGTGGGGGCACTATTACAATTCCAGTCTAAGTTAGCCTGTCTCTTGTAAATGATTATAGGAACAATAAGCTGAGAAATATGTCAGGTCTTAAGTAGAGAATTTATATATATATATGGACATTTTTTTTTTGATGCCAGGAACCTCTGCCACCTAGAAAACAAATGCAGAGAAGAGTCTGTTGAATGTAGTTACTTTAGAAATCTGAAGTGAATTAAAAGTTTGCAATACACAGAGGAAAATTTGGATCATAAACTTCAGTTAACTCTGTCAATTTCAGATTTTAGCAAGGTAAAATTACCAGTAGCTACCCATCCCACCTTTAGCCCTGTGGCAGTCAACTATGTAATAGTTTCTAAAGCAGTTGGCATACAACTTGAAGGAATCGGAGTAAGAAAACAAAACAAACAAACACTATCCTTAGGCTGTAGATATAGCTCAGCAGCTTAGAGTGCAGTGCTTCCAAAGGATCAGCACCCACACTGGGCAACTCGGGCGCTTTTATCTCCAGCTACAGGGAATCCAACACCCTTTTCTGGCCTCTGGAGGCACCTGCCACATGCACACATACCCCCTCCTCCATTAAAAATAAAATCTTTTGGGGAAAAAAAAAGTCTGTTTGGAGGCTCTGTGTTCCAATTGCTTTTTGTCCCCACCCCCGATCCCAGCACAGCTATGAATGAGGCCAACAACAAATGACACTGCCAATGGTTGATGATCAGGTGCACAGCACCAGCATGAGCTTCAAAGTTTTGAACAATAAATTCTCAGTAAAAATAATCAACAACTTGTCATGACTTATATCAATGCAAACTAAGAAAGATAATTTTCTCAGATGCCTTGGGAGTATTCAACATTCATTATAGTTTTATGAGAATTAAGTATAAGCTAACCTGCATACAATGCTGAACAGAAAAACGATCCAATGACAAAAGCTATGAATTAATTTACATTCTACTTCAGTAGTACTGTTCCTCTAATTTCCCATTTCTTCTAAGTAAATGAATCAATACATAATTTCTTCATTCTGCAAGTCCCAATGGTAATAATACAAACATTTTCTCGCTAGCACTGAGAATCCTACAATGTCCTGACCCTTGTGCTTACTAACCAGAACAACTATCAAGAAATTGCCTAATGAGAATATGAGCAAAGGGGTCAAGACCATGATGGGCACACCCACTGAAACAGTCTACCTGAGCTAATAGGAGTGGGAACTTGAATTGGTATGTATAATGAAAAAAGAGTTTGTTTTCTTTTTTAAAATTAAAAATAAATAATTAAAAAAAGAAAAAAGAAATTGCCTAATGATACAAATGACTTATGCTACATTATTCAAAGTGATAGAATGGGACATTTCAGAGGCTGGTATATTTTTATTTTGTTTAGTTTTAATTTTAGGAGTTTGATCATATGGTGGTAACTTCAAAGATAATTGTCCCATCAGGCAGTGATGGCACATGCCTTTAATCCCAGCACTTGGGAGGCAGAGGTATGTGAATCCCTGTGAGTTTTGAGGCCAGCCTGGTCTACAAGAGCTAGTTCCAAGACAGCTAGGATTGTTACACAGGAAACCCTGTCTCTAAAAACCAAATAATCATCATCATCATCATCATCCCATTGGTTGAAAATTCCTTTTATTCTGCTGGTTTGAGTCTGAAAAACAATGACATTAAAGTTTATTTTACTGTGCTCTACCTAGTTTTTTGTTGCTGTTCTCATGATATGTAAGAGCGCTGCCCACTACCTCTCCTTGTATCTCTGTCCATCACTACAAGCCCCCTTTTCTGTGACTGAAGTGACTTTCAGGGACACAAAGAACTAGTATTTCCTCACTCTACCTCTACTTTTCTCTCTCTTCCCACTAAGGAACTAAATATTAAAGACTAGGGCAGGCTGGAGAGTTGACTCAGTGGGGAAAGATGCTTTGCCTCCAAGTTTGGTGACCTAAGGTCAACCCCCAGAACCTACCTGGTGGAAGAAAAAAACCAAGTCAAGTTGATCTCGGGCTGCCACACAAGTGCAATGGTGTGTACACACACACAGTTTTTTAAAAGCACATTTTAACAGTGAGAAGAAGAAGAAAACGGTAAGATAGGAAAACTGATATTGAGTTTGGATTGCAGAAAGATAAAAGATTATATACGAGAGTAAGACTCTAACAAGTGGATTGATGGAGGCACCATAGGAGTTGCAGAAGGAAAAGAGAGAAAGAAGAGATTGCCTGAAGAACATCTGGAGACTCCCAAGATAGAACACCCAGGAAGCTCAATGAACTCTGAGCAGGATAACCCCAAAGTTACCAAATCACATATCATCAAACCAAGACACAGTCAAATTGTCAAGAGTCTTGGGAACAGCAAGACATAAACAGTACATATAAGGAATCTGCAAAGACTTTTCTCACCAGAACTTCTGGAGGTTAAAGGGCAATAGTCTGAGGACTGAGACTTTTTTTTAAAGATATATTTATTATGTATATAGTGTTCTGCCTGCATTTATGCCTGCAGGCCAGAAGAGGGCACCAGATCTCATTATAGATGGTTTTCAGTCACCATGTGGTTGCTGGGAATTGAACTCTGGAAGAAAAACGAGTGCCCTTTTAACATCTGAGCTACCTCTCCAGCCCTGAGGGCTGAGATTTTTAACGGTCTAAGAGAAGAACTGTCAAGAATCCCATGTTGAGAAAGTATCCCTCAAAGATGAGGGAGAAATGATGATACTGTGGGTAAGAGCTGAGGTAGGGTCTTGGCAGTATAGCTGAGAGGTAGAGTATATCCTTAGCATGCATGAGACCCTGGGTTCAATACCTGTACTACATAACCACTGACATTACCATCAGACCTGCATCTAGCAATGCTAGCTGAATGAAGTCACTGCAGTGTGAAATGAGAGTATACTGGAGAGTAACTTGAAGCCATACAGAGGATCAGGAGTTTAAGGCCAGTTTGAGCTATAAAAGCTCTTACTGCAAAAGCAAAACTAAACAATTATTATTATAATAAGTTTATGTTTGGAGCAAGTACAAGGACTGGAGATGGAAACTTAAAGGAACACAGTTCCCTGGCATTACACTGCTAAAAACTCAATTAGAATGCTGGAACTTCGGGATAGTCCGAAGTGTGTACTCCATGTTGACCACAATGAAACAGGCACAACATACACAATAGGAAAAATAAAGGAGTTTAAAGTTTCACCACACACATACATACACACACCAGTAGGAAAGAAGACAGACACAATAAACAAAGAACAAAATGCTTTAAGGCTGGGCTAGCAAATGGTTCAGCAGCAAAGGTACTTGTCAACCTGACAGCCTGAGTTGGATCCTGAGACCCACAAGGTAGAAGGAAAGAACCAGGACCCACAAGCTGTCCTTGATCTCTGTGTCTGCAAAGGCACACTCAGAGGCACACACACAAATGTAAATAAAACGTTGTACAGCCACTATAAAACAAACACCAGAATTGCTGGGTGGTAGTGGCACATGCCTTTAATCCCAGCACTCAAGGAGGCAGAGGCAGGCAGATCTCTGAGTTTGAGGCTAACCTGATCTACAGAGTGAGTTCCAGGACAGTCGGAGATATATAGGGAACCTTGTCTCAAACAACTAAACCAAAAAAACCCACCAAAATGATAGAAGTTCCCTTCCTCCCAACCATCTTTAGAAGGAAGGAAATTCTGCTAGACACTAAGATGAATGACCTAAAGCCTTTCTGCTAAGAAAAACAGGCCAGCTACAGCAGAACAAATACTATAGATTGTACACTTACCCAAAGTGTTTATAATAACAAAAAACATTAAAAAAAACCAAAAACAACAAAAAAGATGAGTGTTTTTGGGACTGAGTTTCAATTTTATATGATGAAGAGAACCCCAGAAGTGGATAGTGATGGTTGCATGGCAAAATTAACACAGTTAATGGCACTGAAAAGAACACTTAAAATGAGTAAGATGGTAAATTTTATGTCTGTTTTATTTTGCCACAGTGAAAACAAAATGCATAGTCTTGGGTCAGTCTGCACTGTGCCCTAAGGCTTGTGAAAGGGAGAGAAGAAAACATGTTCAAAATAAGTACTACCACTGATGTCATACAGTAAAGCACACTTGAAAACACCAATACATGCTACACACACGGAAAGCATGAAACATTACCTGGCTTCTACTCCAGGCCTGATTGGTGGCTTTCCTGGTGGCGGCCGGGGCAAGAACTGAGGTGAAGCTGAACTGTTAACTTGATCCGTGCTGACCCAGGAAACTGGCCTTGGAATCTTGCTCTTTCTAGACTGGGAGATGACGGGTGACAGAAAGCCATCTTCAGCTGATCTACTCATGTGGGAATCAACTGCCAGACGGGAAAAGGGAGTGAAGACTTCCTCCTCAGAAAAGGGAACAGGAGCAGCAGCTAATTTCTCCTCTATCAGCTTCTCAGAGGCACTGGAGAGGTCCCCCAAGAAAGACTTGAACTGCCTTTTTTCCACCAGAAGTTTGACAAGTTCTGGCTGGTAGGCTTTCTTCTGTAGAAGCTTTTCTTTTGCAGAGACTGCAGAGGATGATTCAAAAGCTGAGTCTATTTCTTGTGCTAAAACAGGAATCCGGCTGTGCCTGGTTACAAAGGATGACCGAAGCATGTCCTTCCGTGTGGGAGGACCATGACTTTCTGAGACACAATGATATAGCTCTCCGTTTCTAGGGACAACTGTATCTCTCTTTCCCTCTTGGTGTAAAAAAGTAGAGAGGTCTCCCTGATGTCCGGGCACGTCTTCACTCCTAATGTCAGCACCCTTAAATAGTTTATTGTTTTGCATTGCTGCCACCTGGCCCATCTGCCCTTCAGCATGTGGGTCAATGACTTGTTGAGAAATTTCTGAAGTTCCAACTGCTAAAAGCTTCATTATCTCATGGTTTTTGTCCTGATTTGGCACCACACTAAAATTCTGTGTCTTTGATACATCAAGAGGTTCTGTGGTAGCTGACTGATCCCTTTCTGCAGTCACAAAATCTCCTGGGAGAGAGATTTCACCACAATGCTGTCCTTTAATTAACTTCTCATCTTCATTATCTGAGCCCAGAAGAATGCTTTTTTCCTCTGTTTCTCCAGGGAGATTTTCAAATTCTTTTACAACTAGTCTATTATGGTCAGGAAGGTCTTTTGGTCCCAAGTCCTGAGTTGTATCACCGTCTCTCACATTGGGTAACAAGTCATGGCCAATATGATCTATCTGAAGTCCCAAATCCATTCTGCTTCCTCCACTAGGAAGTTCGCCCTCTGTTACAACCAAGCATGAGAAGTTTTCCCTTGGAGAATAAAGTTCCACAGTGGGTTCCAAGGGCTGAAGATCTTTCTTCTCTGGTTGTAGACCACAGTGAAAGCTTCCTGAAGTTGACTGTGTTGATGCCACAGAAGGTCTAGGAATTGTAATCTGGAGAAGTGGGGAGAAATGTAAAACATCTAATTATGTGGGGTATCAGTCAGATGCATGGTTTAAGATATAACACAATTTGTAAGAGTAGCAAAGATGTTTACCAGGTCTTCTCAACTCATACTAAATGAGCATTGTGAATGAAGATGAAGGACACCTGAGTTCCCCTCAAAGGAGCTACACAGAACAAACAATTCCCCTAGAGGTTCTTTGTGCTTGCTCCTTTATCATGCTCTATGCCCCAGAAGATTAATTTCAAAAGACTGCATGGTCCAGACTCCCTTGCAAATGGGAGGCCTATGATAAGTTAAATTCTATTATCCTTACACTAAAGTCAGTTTTATGTGAATACAATTCAATTTCTTTTTTTTTTTAAAGACCTTTTTGGAGGAAACAGATAAACTCAGATCACTTAATGGGGACCACTAAGTTCTAGGAAAACAAAACAAAACACTTTGTGTCAGGAACGTAACTAGGTTTACAGACATGTAAATCCTGCAGACCAATCTAGGCAGAAATCACCAAACAGGACAGGCAGGCATGGTGGTATGTATCTGTAATCCCAGAACTTGGGTGGTTGTGACTCAAGGAATCTGAGTTCCAGGACAGCCTAGTCTATACTGTAAGATTTTGTTAAAAGAAATAAAAATAAGGAACTAGAGTCCTGAGGATGCTTCAGGTGAATCCATGACGGGCTATTTGGGTTGAGAACTGTAGCAATCTCAGACTTATGGTGAACTTGAAGAAAGGCACTGAGTTATCCTTCACCCTCTACTTTCTTTTAAAATTATCCAAGTTACTAAGTAAGGTAGATGGCAACTTCCTAATACATGTTTTCATTACAATTATTTGTTATGTGTGTGTGTGTGTGCATGTGTATTTACTTGCACCATAAAACATATGTGGAGACCAGAGGACCACCCACAGGCGGCAGTTCTGTCCTATCATGTGGGTCCTGGAAACCAAACTCAGGTTTTTAGGCTTGGCAGCAAGTACCTTACTCACTAGACAATCTTGCCTTTCAGTCCGTGTGTGTGTGTGTGTGCGCGTGCTGTGTTTTGACGAGGGTCCTTCCACCGTGTAGGTCCTAGGAATTAAACTCAGGTCATTCATCAGGATTGGTGGCACTTTTATCTCCTCAGTCATCTTTGCTGGCCCTCTAGTATATTTTTATAATAATATTAAAATCTAAAATTCATAGTACATCACTTTTTTAAAGTTCCTTTTTAAGATCCTACTGTGGAAATAGAAAAGTAGATGTGAAATGACATTGGGAGGTAAACATCTACATTCACAATAAACCGAGAGCAGTCGCCTCAGTAGTGTATGTAATTCCAATACTAATCCAAAACAAATGGAACAATGTTTACAAGGGCAATGCTTCACTGGCCTTCTGGGACTGAAGCCAGAAATAACTTCTACAGACAATCAACTCCTTTGATTATCTTATGACCTGTGCGTGTGTGTGCATGACTAACAATCTTATAAGGAAAATGTGTATGAACAGCCAGACAGAACTTAAGACAATTATAACAAACTGTACATGACTTAATCTCATGTAACAGTCTCATAGCCTTTTAAATTTTATAAAATATTCAAACTCATTTCTATAAATCCTATGATAATGCTGCTATTTTTGTTTCCCCCAATTTTAATTGAATTCCATTATTAATACAAGTTCATAAATGAAGAAAAACAAAGCCAAGAAAAGTCACAGACAGGACATGAGGGTTTGGAAAGCCACGCACACCACAGTCTACTACTGACACAGCATCTGCTCTAAGTCTGTAAAAACCCTGATGAGATGAAAAGAGAAAACCCAGGACCAAGAGAAAACTGATTCAAAGTGTAGCTGCAAATACCTCCCTTAATCTTGAAGTTCCAATTCCTATACTTACAACATGCTACCTATAGACTAAACAATAACCTCCCTATAAGCTGTTTGTATCTTTCATACCTTGAACTTCTGTATTTCATAACAGTTAGACAATAACTTTTTTTTCTTTTGAGACAAGGTCTTGCTATGCAGCCCAGGCTGACTTTCGGTTTATAACAATCTTCGTGCTTTAGTCTCTGGGATTAGAGGCATGAGCCACCATGCCCAGCAGAGGCACACTCTTTCTATCGCTTCTACTCATATCCTTTACTTGTGTCCCCATGCAGACTTACTACATCACCTTCACAGTCTCCGCTTCCGTCATGTTTCCATAGTTTTATTAATGCCCAATATTAAAGCCTACATACTAATGAGTATTTATTTATTACAATCAAAGAAATCATCAAATGGAATTACTTTAATAATTCAGGAAGAATAGCATTAATTTTTAGTAACATGTTAAGAGTTGGCTACACAGCAGGAGACCATGTGAATCAACTATCCTATCCATTTTAACTTAAGAATCACACTTTGGTTTTTCTCTTGCTCAAGGATAATAAAAACCTTGGAAAATTAAATACTTGTACCACATAGCCTGGTTTTTTGTTTTGCTTTGTTTGATATAACATGGAAGGTATAACATCTATATCTCATATTGACTCATGGACAAGGACAATTTAGAAGTACAAGATACAAGTAGTAGAATAATGTATTACTTGTGACATTGCCCAAAATGATTAAATTACAAATTCCTGTCCTATCAAAAATTTACATTTTGGCGGGTGGTAGTGGCACACACCTTTAATCCCAGCACAGAGACAGGCATTATCTCTGTGTTTGAAACCAGCCTGGTCTATAGAGCAAGTTCCAGGACAGTCAAGACAGTCAAGGCTACACACAGAAATCCTGTCTCAAAAAACAAAAGCAAAAAATTACATTTTGGGGGTTAAAGAAATGGCTCAAAGGTTAAAAGTGCTTATTGCTCTTAAAAAGAATCTGAATTCAGTTCCCAGCGCCCACAGAGCAGCTCACAGCTGTCTGTAACTCCAGTCAGGGGGTCAGACACCCTGGCCTCTGTGGGTACCAGGCATGCACATGAGGCACAGACGTATATGCAAGCAAAACACAGATACACATAAATTTAAACAAAACAAAAAAAAATAGTATAATCTGGGGCAAAGGTAGGGGATGCAGCGCACACGCCTTTAATCCCAGCACTTGGGAAGAGGTGGATCTCTGGGGGTTCAAGGTCGAGACCAAGCCTGGTCTACTCAGTAAATTCCTCTGTAGCTCATGCTGACTTGGAACATGCAGCAATGCTCCTTTCTTGGTTTCCTGAGTATGGGGATTACAGGCATGAGTTCAAGTCCTAAACTACTCAGGGGGCGGGGAAAATCCTAAACAAAACACAACTCAGGTTGGACTAGAAGTTAGCCCTAGCTTATATAACCCTTGGGCTTGGGCTAGGCTTCTCTATGCCACAAACAACCTATAAAATTGTACAGAGAAGTCCTGGAGGGGACAGGAGGGAAGATCAATTAACTAAACTCTGGTAGGAGAAGAAATAGGAAAACATTTATTTCTCTATTTTGGAGCACTGACAAAGTCTTACAGAAGTGTTCATAAAGCAAAATTTCATCAGTATCTTTTCGAAGTGTTTTATACCTGGTACATCAAAATGTGTTTTAACAAAAAAAAATTTCAATTTGGGAAATGATGTTGAGGTTACTGCGTTAGAAAGGAAGGCTGTCTAATGACCATAAAACTTAAGGAAGTCTGGCACAGGCTACCTATGTCAGAACAAGTGTGCTTGTGGGTGCCTGAAGCTGTGTTGCGGTCCTTACTGTCTGAGGCTGGCTTTTCTGGATTCCTCCAGCTCATAAAGCTGCTGCTTACTTCAAAAAAGCAACTGTTTTTAACAGTGGCATGCTCAGGGCTGAGCACTGGCAGTACTGTTCCTCCAAAAGATTTCTTTCCAGAAAACTTGGTCACAACTGCCTTCAAACACTTCAAAATGAAGTTTATTCTACCCCTGACTTAGAAAAGTAGAAGTTCTGAAAGCCAGACTTGAGATTCTGCATCCTACATAGTGGGCATCTCACAGGTAAGAGAAATGTAAAACATGAGAAACTTCTGGGTAGAGATTTCAAAAAAAAGGGCTTAGACCTGTTAACAGTGTAAGAGAACAAACTACAAAGGGTTAAATGCAAGCCTGTATTAGCAGACACAGAATGAAATTCTTCAATATGATAATGAAGAGTCCAAGAATAAGAAAATAAAAATGTACATTCCAAAAATAAGAATGTAGAAATAAAGAAATATAAAGTTATAAGTCCAGGAGAATGAGAACAGACTGCCAGCAGCTTTCTCAGCAGATCAAGGATCAGTCATTCACAGTGAGCTATTTTCTCGGATGCTTGGGAAGCCTCCATCAGCCTAGGTCATTTCATTTTACAAGTGGCTGTTCTATTTACAAGGCCAGAGCTTCTCCCTGCAAACTGAGAGTAGTGGCCATCCCTGATAAACGACAGATGTGAACTGAGTTAACCTTTAGGAGACAGAGATACTGACCTCTGGGTTAGGCACTGTCTCTGTTATGGGAAACTGGTGTCACCAATGGGGAGGCATGGGGCTCCAGTATACACTGCCTGGAGGTACCAGAGACAGTGGACAAAGGTACAAACACGGGTTGACTAATGAGCTCTGATAATGGAGGTTGTAAAGTATGGCAGTCAGTATCTGAGTTTTACCTTTAGATAATGTGAAAAGCTTTCCACTATCTTCTAAATTCTCAGCCTAAGAACAAGTTAATCCTAATTTATTAACCTTCTGGTATGACTAGCAGTTCCCTTTCTAATTGCTAACGACATCTGTTTTCTTGCAATTAGTGACTTTCGCTGTAATCTCCTCTGAAACATATTTCATGATGGCTGCCTAGTTACCCATTGACATTGGAACTCACTCCCCTCTCTAGGGACTCCGCTGATTAACCCAAGGGTCAGGGTAAGGTTGTAAAAATTCCTTTGCCCAGACCTAATTCTTGGCACCCCTACTATAAAAAGTGCCCCAGCCTAACAAACACCATCTCTGGCTGTAGTCTCAGCTGATAAGCTTCTGTGCTCCGCGGTGTTTTTTTTTTTTTTATTTTTTTATTTTTAAGTTTGCTTCTGGTTTTCCTAGGATCTGGTTTCTGGAATAAAGTTTGCTTCTGGTTTATTAGACTTGGTGGTGCTCTCATCTTTGCGCGACCCCCCCCCCCCGAACCCAACAATAAAAATTTTTATAATAATTTGCATACATACACACATAAACAAGTGGATCTTGTAGTTTAATTATAAATGATGCAAAATTAAGTTATAATGGTAGTTCATGTATTAAGTTTAATGTAACAAAGAAAAGTTCACTTAAAATTATTATTTTCTTTCTTCTTTTTTTCCCCCAAGACAGGGTCTCATTATATAGCTCCGGCTATTCTGAAGCTCACTCTGTAGACCAGGCTGGCCGTAAACTCACAGAGATCCAGCTGCATCTGCCTCCCAAATGTTGGGATTAAAGGCATGCGCCACCACCACCTGGCTTTATTTTTTCCTTATTGTAGGTTGACTATAGAATTTTGCATAAACACTATTGCTTACATGTACCCATTTGCTAAACTTAAGCCCCTAACTATTGTCCAATATTAACTGATCTACTAACCTACCCTCTCTTTTCTGCTTTTGCTTATTCATTTAGACATAAGGGTCACAGTGTGTAGCCCAGGTTGCCTGAGGCTAGGTATCCCAGACTAGCTTGACTTTACAGTGGTTTTCTCTCTCTCTCTCTCTCTCTCTCTCTCTCTCTCTCTCTCTCTCTCTTTTTTCTTTACAAATTCACAAAAAGGACTTTTAATGAAAGCAGCTAACAAAAGAACTATCAATAACATGGTAAAACAGATATATCCATTCACTCTATTCTGTGGTAGGACTCCGGCATAGAACCATAGGAAAGATGCCTTTATTGTTACATTCTTGGACTTTGTTAAAAAAAAAAAAAAAAAAAAATATTCTTACCAAGATAAATAAAAGAACTGAAATAAGATATAAACATTTTAAAAAGTCAAAGTTCATTTTAATAAAGCCATGAACTTGAACAGTTGGGGTAAGCTACAAACCTGGGTAAGGAATAGTTTGTTCTTCAAAAGCATCTCATCTGCTCTCAGTTAACTTAATTTTTTTTTTGGTTCTTCGAGACAGAGTATCTCTGGGGCTTTGGAGCCTGTCTGGAACTAGCTCCTGTAGACCAGACTGGCCTCGAACTCACAGATTCGCCTGCCTCTGCCTCCCAGGTGCTGGGATTAAAGGCGTGTGCCACCACCGCCTGGCTAATTTAATGCTTTCTTAACTAAATCCCAAATCTAGAAGGAGAGATGTGTGACCTGGGACAGCACAGTGACATTGAGACCACTCAGGCTCTGAACAGCCTGCAGTGTCCTGCTTCCACTGCAAATGAGGAGTGGTGCTTGGAAAAAAGCAGGTCTGAAGGAAAGACGAGAAGAGTTACTGCAAAGATATGTAAGGCCACAGTGAGCTCTGCCCTTGACCATACAGTGGTCCTCTTTCTATAGCCACCTTGCCTGCCTTTCTTTTTCTTCTCTCTCTCTTTCTCTCTCTCTCTCTCTCTCTCTCTCTCTCTCTCTCTCTCTCTCTCTCTCTTTTTCTCTCTGTGTGCATGCATGCATGTGGGTGTGTAAGAACGTGCTTGTATTTTTTGAGACAGGATCTCTCACTAGATCTGGAACTCAGTGATCTGGCTAGACTGGCTGGTCAGTAAACTCCAAGATCCCGTTTGTCTTTGTCCCCAACCCCCACACCCACACATACTCTAACTTAGTGCTGGAGTTACAGATGTGTACTGCCATGTCTAGGTTTCATGTGGGTGCTGAGTATCTGAAGTCAGGTCCTCATATATGCACAACAACTAATTTACTGATTGAGTCATTTCCCTAGCTCCAGTCTTCTCTTTTTGTTGTTGCTATTTTGAGAAGAGATCTCACTATGTATCCCTGGCTGTCCTGGAACTCACTACGTAAAAGAATCTGGCCTCAAACTAGAGATCAACCTATCTCTACCTCCTGAATCCTGGGATTGAAAGTGTGTACAACTACACCCACTTCAGACTTTTTTTTTTAATATAGCACATTGAGCAGACAACACAAAATAACAACAAAAGCAGTTTCTTACCGCAGTCAGGGGGCCTTCTGCTTGTGCCTCCATTGGACTTGTGGGAGTAACTGTGACGAACTGACTAGCAGCTCCAGCCTGGAGGTCTAGCCTATCTGTGTACTGTTCTGAAGCAGCAGTGGCAGGACATTCTGCAGAAAGTGCTAAGACCACACCTGAGCTTTCCTTTAAGTGATGGTTGTCAGTCCAAGGACCTACTTGGATCTTTTCATCTTGAGGCGACCCTTCAAGGACCTGAAGCACTTCAGGCTCCTCGTCTGAAGGGCTTCCAGTTGTTTTATGGCCTAACACCTCATTTGTCCTAAAGTCCTGAAGGTCTTGCTCCTTGTCCACAATCACCCATTCTCTGGAATCAACCTCCTGCTTGCAAGAGCTTAAATTAACAGCTATAAATCCATTGCTGCCACCACCATCTCCTTGCTCTGGTGTGTTGGCAGAGGCAGGTTTGGAGGCATCAGGAAGGTATTCTTCATCATAGTGCCAGACATGGTCAGTGCGGGACACAACAGGAACGCAAGGCTTATGAGGCAGAGCAGGGAGAACAGATTCCTTTCCTGCACCGGATTCTTTCTGCATTTTCTCCATGCTTAAGGAAACAGAAAGAAGTTACTCAATTGTCCTTAGAGAAACAATCATTAGATAAACTCTATGTGGAACAACCATTCTTACACAAGTGTGATGAGTTCGTATGAAAAAACCAAAGGGGATTTCACAGGGTTGAAGTTCTCTACTTGCCATTCCTGCTCCTCCCCCAACACTGTCCACTCTGAAAGTCTCTTTTGTTAGTTGAAGTCCTTGTCAAATTAAGTTTTTGCTCCTAATGCTCTCTTACATCTATTTCTCATCTTAATGTAATTCAAAATGGTTAAAGCATTGTTCAAGTCTAATCCATCCATTTGATCATGTCTGGATATATAATGATGGATAATATTGCCTTTCTGATCCTTCTGCCTCTACTTTCCTAGAACTGAGATTACAGGCATATACTTTTTTTTTTTTTGCTTCAGGGATTTTCCGTGTGACAGGTCTGGATGTTCTGGAACTCTATCCTCAAAGACAAAGATCTGCCTGCTTCTGCCTTCCCAAGTGCTGGGATCAATGGCATGTGCCATAACCACCTGGCTTAAACTATTTTTTTGGTTTTTCGAGACACGGTTTCTCTGTGGCGTTTGGAGCCTGACCTGGAACTAGCTCTTGTAGACCAGGCCAGCCTCTGCTGGGATTAAAGGCGTGCGCCACCACTGCCCGGCTACAGGCATATACAGACTACAACACAAAGTTTATGTCTTTCTGAGGACTGAACACAGGGCCGCATATATGGTAGGCAGGCACTCTACCAACTGAATCAGACCCCCAGTCTAAACCATAGCCTCTCTTAACCTAACAGTTCCACCACATACATCTTAATCCTCTTGAAGCCTTTTATTAATTATAAATATACCTCAAATCTTACATTTTTATTTCCATCTTGTTACCAAAATTTGTTATACTGATCAAAAGCAACAGTCGTTAGGGTTATACACAGATCTTTAAAGTTTAGCCTTTCTTCTTTCTTGGGAGGTGTGAGTGCTACAGGGCATGGTGACAAACTTACTACTATGTATTTTGCCACGGCTTTTCTCTGTGTGTGCCCCACATTCCTGTCTAGTGTGGTCTTCACTGTGCCCTTTCAACTTCCATACTGCTGCCTCAAAGAATTCACTTTCTAACAAGGCCACAGAAAGTGTGCTCATCTTATTACTATATCTGCTTTAGGAAGTTCATCAGCACTCTCAAAGACAAAGACTTCGCTATAAAATTTGTAATGATATTAGATAAGTCAAATTAAGAATAATGATGATATATAACTATGATATAAACAGCCGGGCGGTGGTGGCGCACACCTTTAATCCCAGCACTGAAGAGGCAGAGGCAGAAGGATCTCTGTGAGTTCAAGGCCAGACTGGTCTACAAGAACTAGTTCCAGGACAGGCTCCAAAGCTACACAGAGAAACTTTGTCTCAAAAAACCCAAACCAACCAAATAAACAAAAACCCTATGATATAAACAAATGGAAACTTAATGGAGTCAGTGTTATAAAAACAAAAGAATTTCTTACTTGAAAGAATTTTCACAATGCATATAAAATATAATAGGAAAATAAAAAATACATTACATACCAGGTCTCAAGAAACTTGTCAGTATCTGGCTTTGGCTCCAGTGTCAGACGCTTTTCTAGCTCAAAGCTGTGAATGGAACGTAGCTTTCTTACTAATGGAACATCCCTATCCGGCTGCGTAATCTCTGATCGGACACGAATTGGCGAGCCAAGGCTTGGAGCATTGAGAATACCATTTACTTGACCATGGCTATTTTCTTCTTCAGTAGCAGCCTAGAAAAAAAATATAAAATAGAATCGTGAAAAATACTCCAGATATTATTCATGGGAGAAATCACTGAAGCCTTTGAAATAATATCAACAAATGATTACATGTGTTTTGAGAAAATTATTATTATTGTTGTTGTTGTTGTTATTAATGTATTTGTTTATTTTGGTTGTTTTGAGACAGGGTTTCTGTGGGAAATGCAGCCCCGAGTTACTTATCCCTGCCCCCATTTGAGGTGCTTATCTGCAAAGAAAACATAATAAATTCCCTCTGCTCCTGGAGTTGGGAAAGGAATTTTCAGTGCATGGTGACCATTCCTTGATCCCTGCTGAGGAGGTCAGGTTACAGTCCCTTCGCAGCCCCCTCCTCATTTGGTGCCATGGTATAAAAGCTAGCCCCAGCAGAACAATAAAGAAGCTGCTGTTCCACCTCAACCTCATGCTCTGTGAATTCATTCAACCTGGACACCCTCTGCCGAGATTCATGGTTCCAGACCGTGCAGGCGCGGTTACTGGAGGTCTCCACCAAGACAGCTGAGAGATAGCCGAGATTGGAAAGGTGAGGATAGTGGACCGGGTCATCCTGTAGCTGGCCAGGATGCATTGGGGATTAAGAAATAATTAAGAAATAAGAGATACTTAAGATAATTAAGAGATAATTAAGAGATAAGAGATAATTAAGAAATAGGGAATACCCCAGGTAAATCAGAGCTAAAGTTTCAGTTAAAGAGGTTATTGAAAGAGCAGGGAACAGCTGTAAAAACTAAGACTTTAGAAGATTTTCTTAAAACTATAGAAACGTGGAGTCCCTGGTTTGTCACCAGTGGAGCCTTCAATATTTCTGAATGGGAATAGGTTCGCGGGGATCTTCAAAAAACCTTGAGAAAGGAGGGGCCTGAAGTCCTGCCAATAGCCACGTTCTCCCTTTGGAGACTGATCAGGGATGCTTTGCTAACAGAGAAAGCCCGGGGTGAGCAGGCTTTGGAAGCAACAAAAGAGGTGTTATCTGAGATTCAAGATAGGGAGACCAAGGCTTCTCTTTGTTCTGATGTGGCCTCCTACACGGAGGCAGAACCACTCCCTAAGCCTGCTAAGGGGAAGCCTGGTAAGGTAGAGAAGAGAAAGATTAAAAAGAAAAAACCTCCAGACTGGGAGGAGGGAAATGAGTCACAGGACAGAGTTTCCTCTCAGAACTTAGGGGCTCGTCCCAAGCAAAATTCTTCAGCGCAGACACGCCTTTACCCCTCTTTGTCTGATTTTGAAGAGAGCTTGGGGGAATCAACAGATTCGGAAGAGGAAACTTTGGAAGGGGAAATTGCATTATTGCAGAGGAAATTATGCAGGACCCGTTTAAAAGAAAAGACAAAAGGGACCTCTAGAAAGAAGAACAAGCCCCCTCCCTACCGTCTTTCTGATGCCATCAGGACCTCTCCGGCCCCTCCCTTTCGATCAGGCTCAGAGGAGGAGGCTCCCTGCGGAGGCGTTAAGTGCTACCCAGTGATTGCCCCTGTTCTGGAAATTCCAGATCCCAACAATCCAGGGCAGGTTTTTCGCCATCATGAACCTCTGGCTTTTAAGGATTTAAAACAATTAAAGGGGGGCTGGAGAGATGGCTCAGCGGTTAAGAGCATTGCCTGCTCTTCCAAAAATCCTGGGTTCAATTCCCAGCAACCACATGGTGGCTCACAACCATCTGTAATGAGGTCTGGTGCCCTCTTCTGGTCTGTAGGCACACATGCAGACAGAATATTGTATACATAATAAATAAATAAATAAATAAATAAATATAAAAAAAACAATTAAAGGAAGCTGCCAGCCTTTACGGCACCCAAGCCCCATTTACGTTATCTCTTATGGGGTCTTTTAGGGCTCTTAACCTCACCCCGAGTGATTGGCAGCAGCTCTGCCGCGCTGCGCTTAGTGGGGGAGACTTTCTTATTTGGAGAGGGGAGTTTCAGGATAGATGTACTCAGACTGCCGCTCAAAATGCGCTGAATGGGCAACTCCAAAGAAACGCTGACATGCCAGCAGGGACAGGTGCTTTTGGGACCATTCAGCAACAAATTCAGTATGATCTGGCAGTATACGCCCAGGTGGCAACTGCAGCCATCGGAGCCTGGAGGGCCCTCCCTCTGACAGAGGGAATCACCTGTGTAAAATCCTTCAGGGACCCTCTGAACCATCTTCAGATTTTGTAGATCGACTCATACAAGTAGCAGAGTGGCTTTTTGGACCAGCAGGAAATTCTATGCCAATGGTGAAACAAATGGCCTATGAGAATGCCAACAGGTTCTGTAAGGAAGCCCTCCGTCCCCATCGGAAGAAGAGTCTTAATGACTATATCCAAATATGCCGAGACATCAATGGGAATTTTATTCAGGGGCAGGTCTTGGCCGCTGCATTAGAACCCCAAAAAGGGGGGGAACAATAATGGTACCACCAAGGGACCAAGGGTTTGCTTTGGTTGTGGCCAAATTGGACATTTTCGCAAAGAATGCCCCCAAAATTTAAATAGCAATCCTCGCCGCCCGGGACTGTGCCCCCACTGCAAGCAAGGACACCATTGGGCCAATGGCTGTCGCTCTAAGACAGATGTGGAGGGACAGCTTCTTCCTCCTCCTATCAGGGAAACTGGAAGAGGGCCTGGCCCCAGGGCCCCCAAGCCAGTGCGGATGGGGCTATGACCTCCCTTCCAGGGAGTGGCAGGATTCGTTTTGTCCCCCAGAACAACCCCTTTACATCTCAAGACCTCATCCGAGGAACCCCAGGGAGTGCAGGGCTGGACCTCAGTCCCGCCAGTCGAACAGTTTTGACACCTGAAATGGGAATACAGGCCCTGTCTACAGGGGTGAGGGGACCCCCACCTCCAGGTACTATGGGCCTACTGTTGGGAGGCGCTAATGCGCTCCTTAGGGGCATCCATATACATCCCGGACTGGTGAATTCTGACTCGGAAGGGGAAATTAGGATTATGGCCTCTGTGGAGAGGGGAGTGGCAGTAGTGCCAGCTGGGGACCGAATCGCCCAATTAATCCTCATACCAGTGGCCCCGTGTGACACTCCGGTGTTAAAAGAGAAACGGGAAAGACAATGCTTAGGGGAAACTGGGGCATCCGCGTTTTGGGTAGCCACCTTGAATAAACGCCCTCAACTTACCTCAAAGGTAGAGGATAGACCCTTTATAGGAATTTTGGATACGGGGGCGGACGTCTCTGTTCTGGCTGAAAAGCATTGGCCTAAAGCATGGCCTAAGCAGGCGGGGACTGCCACCCTTCAGGGGATTGGCCAGGCAATACCCCAAAAAAAGTGCAAAAATTCTAAAATGGCAGGATCTAGAGGGACAGACAGGCTATTTTCAACCACATGTCCTCCCAGGACTCCCAGTTAATTTGTGTGGTCGGGACATTTTGGAAGACATGGAGGTCATTCTCACCACGCAGAGCTCCTCATCAGCCCAGAAAGCCACCAGAATAATGCAAAGGATGGGATGGGCTCAGGGCAAAGGCCTAGGAAAGTCAGAACAAGGTTTAACATGCACAGTAGCGGACCTCCCAACTGATACCCGTGCCCCCAAAGATAGAAGAGGCTTGGGGTGTTTTTGATGAGGGTCACTGTTGCGTCGCCAATGCCCATACCAATTAAATGGCTTGATAACACTCCAGTGTGGGTAGAACAGTGGCCTTTGTCTAGAGAGAAGCTTCAGGCGGCCCATGAGTTAGTTGAAGAACAATTGCAGGCTGGACATCTCATCTCCTCTACCTCTCCGTGGAATACTCCCATTTTTGTTATAAAAAAAGTCCTCTGGCAAGTGGCGACTGTTACAGGACCTGTGTGCCGTTAATGCCACCATGCAACCTATGGGACCCCTTCAACAGGGCTTACCCTCCCCAGTGGCAATTCCCAAAAAGATGGCATTTGGTCATTATAGACCTTAAGGATTGTTTTTTCTCTATATGCCTGCATATTCAGGATAGCCCTCGCTTTGCTTTTAGCCTTCCCTCCATTAATTTTCAAGAGCCTGCCCTGCGCTATCAGTGGGTCGTCCTCCCCCAGGGTCTGGCTGCCAGTCCTTCAATTTGTCAGATGTATGTTGCTGCTTTTTTGGATCCACTTAGGCATAAGTTCTCCTCCTTCCATATTGTCCACTATATGGATGATATCCTTTTGGCAGCACCAACAAAAGAGGAAAGTTTGCTAATGTTTGCAGAATTGCAGACTCTTCTGGAGGGACATGGGTTCATTTTGGCCCCAGAAAAGGTGCAGATGCAGTCCCCCTATTCTTATCTGGGCTTTCAAATCCAATCCGTCGGGCTTCAGCCTCAGAGGCTGCAGTTGGATTGCTCCCATTTGCGGACCCTCCATGATTGGCAGAAATTATTAGGAGATGTTCAGTGGATCCGTTCTTCCCTTCCCATTCCTACGGGAGTTCTTAAGCCCCTTTATGACATGCTGCCTGGGGACCCTTCCCCTGCGTCCTCCAGGATCATGACTCCAGCAGCAAAAAAGGCCCTAGATGCCTTGCTTAATGCCCTTGAGCGAGCACATCTCCGCCACCTTGATTATGCCCACCCTTTTTATTTCGTGGCTTTTTTCTTCACAATTTTCACCTACTGGTCCTGATAATATGGATTCAAGTGAAGAACATCGAGGGAGGCCTGAGATGGGCACTGGTGAGGAATCCACCCATACTGATGCCAGTAAGTAAAATAAGCTCTGTTTTTCCATCCTTTTATTCCACCAATTATACATTGGGGGTTTCTGCAGCAAATACAGCATTAGAAAGATCTTCATTGGGTAATTTAACGTTTGATATATCCCATGCCCTCTGCTTCCGGAAGATTAGCAATATTTCAGAGATGCCTAGTATCTCTCTTTCTGGACCATGTGTGGTCCTTAGTAATTATTCTCTGGGAGACTTTTCTTCTAACTTTTCTGGGCATCCCTGTTTTGGATTGAGAGATATCTTTTACCCAATGAATTTTAGAAGAAATGTTTCTGGACTTCCAACTCCTCAGAGACCAGCTCCCTTATGTTGGAAGACGCCACAATCCTTCAGATTGTACTTACCATTACTTTGGGGAAATTGTGCTCCTATGGAACCGTGGAAATTGGAGGGAGATAAATATTTATGGTGGTTTGGTCACCGACCTACCTTTAAAAACTCCTTGAGAGGGGCCTTTGATTATTCCTATAGAAATCCAAATATGGCAGGAGTTTCACCTACGTTCGCAGGCATATTTCTCTGCGGCCCGCATGCATGTACAGATATTAAGCCTTTAGCCCTTCAAAGGGGCTTGGCTTTCAATGCTACAGCCGGATGGAACACATCAGACATCTTTGAAACATCCCTCCAGATTAATTACGCAGTGGGAATGAATTTTTCTATTGTCAGCCTAGCTTGTGTTCTGCCTCCCTTTATGTTTATCTCCTTTAATGGGTCGGTCGGGGAGGATGGTGTCCTTAATTGTTCTTCCAGCTCCTGCTTTTTGAGCAACTGCTGGTCCCTGACAGATGAGTCCGTGCTGATGGTGAGAATTCCTGCTCTGGTTCCCCTGGTGGTAGAAGACCCACATGATGGACGAGAGCTTATCTTGTATCGAGAGAGAAAAGACTTTGGGATCACCGCCACAGTCATCGCAGCTATTGCCATATCAGCCACAGCTGCCACCGTTGCAAGAATCACCGTGTCCCAGAATGCAGCTACTGCAGAGACTGTTAACACTCTTGCTGCCCGTGTTACCCAGGCCTTAGAGACTCAAAATACCATTAACTCACATATTCAATTGGGGATGTTAAATTTAAATCAGCAAACAGCCTTATTGCAGGAACAGATTAATGTGTTGTGGATGGTGCAACAAGCTTCTTGTTCTCATTTTTATCATTCTGCCTGTGTGACCCTTATGGAAGTGAAAAATATGTCCTTTGAGGTGCAATGCCTTAATGCTTACCTTAGGGGGCCTTGGAATGATTCCTTTGTAAACTTTACCCACTCTTTGTACATCAGATTATTGCAATTAATGAAACTCGTGTTAAACCTGTATCTGCTGAGGGATGGTGGAATACCATGGCCAAGATTGGGGGTTGGGCACAGCGATGGGGAGGTGCCTTGTCCCTGGGGATCTTGGGACTAGTAGGGGTGGCAGTAGGCCTGCTCCTCTTAAAACGACTCCTAAACACCTTCACCATGACTGAGCTTGTCCACCGTCAGGTGTTACTCAGTCTGGCCCATGACTCTCCCGGAAGTCATGAGGTATGGCTGCAGATGCTGAAAAAATGAGGGTCTCCAAGGACGGGCAACCTGTGAGGAGACCCCCCACCTAAGACAGGGCAATGACGGGTAAGGGAAGGTACTTCCCTCGCAGGACCTAAGACAGGATCCCTCATTATAAAATAAAGTAGGGGGAATTGTGGGAACTGCAGCACTGAGTTACTTATCCCTACCCCCATTTGAGGTGCTTATCTGCAAAGAAAACATAATAAATTCCCTCTGCTCCTGGAGTTGGGAAAGGAATTTTCAGTGCATGGTGACCATTCCTTGATCCCTGCTGAGGTCAGGTTACAGTCCCTTCGCAGCCCCCTCCTCATTTGGTGCCATGGTATAAAAGCTAGCCCCAGCAGAACAATAAAGAAGAAGCTGCTGTTCCACCTCAACCTCGTGCTCTGTGAATTCATTCAACCTGGACACCCTCTGCCGAGACTCATGGTTCCAGACCGTGCAGGCGCGGTAGGTTTCTCTCTGTAACAGCCCAATCTGTCCTGGAACTCACTTTGTAGACCAGGCTGGCCTTGAACTCACAAAGTTCCACCTGCCTTTGCCTCCCAAGTCCTGGGATGAAAGGGTTGCACCGCCTGGCTCTAAAATGTTTTTTTTTTTAATTTTAACTTTGAAAATTGCATCTATGTATTTGTTTATTTACTTACTATATATCTATGGATATGTGTTGTAGAATATTTGTTTACATTGTAAAGATGTTTACATCTTTGCCAAGATGCTTTCTGATTGGTTTCCTAAAGAGTTGAATGACCAGTAGCTGGGCAGGAGATACAGGCAGGGTTTCCAGGGAGAGACAGAAAGAGATGATAAGTTGAAGCATGAGAGGGATGCCATGGAGATACAGGGAGAATAAAAGAAAGGTAAAAAGTCACATAAAAAGCAGGTTAATGGTGGGTGGTGGTAGAGCTCTCAGCACTCAGGAGGCAGAAGCAGGTGGATCTCTGTGAATTCGAAGCTAACCTGGCCTATAGAGTGAGTTCAAGGATAAGTTCCAAAGTTAGACAGAGAAACACTGTCATGAAAAACCAAAAAAAAAAAAATAGTATTTTTGGTACAAGAATAGTCTAAAACTGCTTAAGACCTTCACTTTCTTACATTATATCTATTTAGATGCATACAGAACCCTATTCTACTATACTAAAACTAAATCCTGGAAAGAATGTTATCTTTGAGAAAAGTTAGGAGAGACTACTAAAATTCTTATACACCTTTCTCATTCCCTCTCTTAAAAGCAATAGACAACAAAACCAACACCAGGGGCTAGAACAAGAAGCTTCCAGGGCAGAGTGGAAAGCCAGGCATGGAGTAACACAAAGGGCTGAGGTACTAGAGTCTACATAGAGTCTCAACCAACGCCAACAATCCAGATCTCTCAGGCTGGAGAGATGGTTCAGCGGTTACGTGCACTTGCTGCTCATGCAGGGACTTGGGTTCACTTCCCAGCACCCACACGGTGGCTCACATCTTCTCTTAACTCCTTTCCAGGGGCTCTGACACCCTCTTCTGACCTCTGTGGGCACTAGACACACAGATATTCATTCAGGCAAAATATCTACACGCATAAAATAAAAGCTGAAGAAGAAAAAATAAAAACCAAATCAAAATTCAGTCTTCTGGTGCCATAAGGACAACCACAATTGATAATACAAAAATTAGATTCCTAGGGCTTGAGGTGTAGTCCACAGTAGTGTGCTCAGCGTGGCTGAGTTGAGTTTGCAGCAACACACATAACACTGACCCAACCTTTTACTGCTCATCCCTGATTACTGTGAGTGGAGACAGTGCCTAATCAATAGCCGGACCACATTTCTGTATTAATGCTTTTACAGATGACTGAAAGTATATGTCTTATAGGCTACAATCTGAACTTCTACATTATCATGCTCCAGTTCATATACTTAACTCCTAATTCCAAACAATGGTCTAAGAAGATGGATTATGTGGGGTGGGATGTGTTCATGGAGGTAGAGTGCTCATAAAATTGATAGAGGGCCCTAGAGTGACCCCAAAATCTGCCTTGATTTTAGACTTTTCAGAACCCAGAATTACACAAAATATAGTTCTGTTGTTTACAAGGGACCTATTTTATGAAATTTTTATTATAGAAGCTCAAACCATTAGCTTACATTCCTAAAGCTAGCCCCCAAGCTATTCCCTTCTTTGGCCACTTCCTCCTCCTGAGGCTGACTATCAAGGTCCAGCTATCAAAATATTGAAGTCCAGCAATCAAAAATCCCTTTTAGCTACCCTAATTAACATGTATTCACATGTATAATCACTACATATGTATGTATGTATCTTCCTACGGACATAAACCAACCCGCTCAGTTCATATGATGTTACTTGTATGTAAATGATTTCAGGGTAGAGAGCCTGGTATTGGATAACTAGTCTGGGGGCTCTTTTCTGGTGCAGATACGGAATGTTGAGATGGAGATGACCAGGGTTTGATCACACGCATATGCACATACACACACTCTAAACTCTGTAGCAATAAGAAAAGTAAGTACATAGAAAGATATCACTTCCTATGCAAGAAATACACACCTTACAAATTCCAAGCTTTATCTTGTTCTTGTTGATATCCATCTCTTCCCAAACATCCTTTTCCTGAGGGCGAGTATGCCCAAGAGACCCAGGCAGTTTATCTGGGGACCCAGCAGCAGGGACACCGTTCTCCCCATCACTAAGTTGTTCATCTGGAAACACCTCATCTGTATTTTCTCGGAGCAAGTCTCCGGGGATGGGGGTGGCATTTGCAATTCTGAAATGTGAGGGAGGAAAACAGAAAACTTTAAAAGACCAGAATCAAAGTTAATATCAGACAGACTACATTTTGTCTCTGGATTTAAGTTTTAAGAGTTAAACAAAAGCTAATACTTTTTTTGTTCTGTTTTGAGACAAGGTTTCTCTGTAGTTTTGAAACCTGTCCTGGATCCTACTCTGTAGACCAGGCTGGCCTCGAACTCACAAGAGATCTGCCTGCCTCTGCCTCCTGAATGCTGGGATGAAAGGAGTGTGCCACCACCACCCAACTTTTTTTGTTTGTCTGTTTTGTTTTTGTTTTTGTTTTTCAAGACAGGGTTTCACCATGAAGCCTTGGCTGTACTGGAACTGTCTCTGCAGACCAGGCTGGCCTCGAACGCACAGTGATCCTCCTGCTTCTGCCTCCCAAGTGCTGAGACTAAAGGCATGTGCCCCCACATCTGACAATCACTTTAAAAGTCAGAAACATCTGTTCTACTTTCTATGAAGCCTTCATCAATAAAATAAAATCTCTACTCTTTAACACTTTTGTAAATAATAAAAACAATTATACATAGCAAAGTAAGAAGGGATAAAAGGAAATAAATAGGGGTTAGATGATTTTTTGGTATGAACTGTGCATTACTGTTTCTTTAACTTTTAATTTTTATTAAAATAAGCCTTTTTTATTCAATATATTTTGATCATGTTTTTCACTTTCTGGAATTCCTTCCTACCCATCCAATTTTATGTTCTTTCACTCTTTAAAACACATGAACAAACAAAAAAACAAAAAGAAAACCCAAAACCAAACCAAACCAAAAAAACCCCACAGAAACAAAAATCAAAACCAACTAGCCAAGGAGCAGAAAGACCAAAAAAGAAAGAAAAACAAAGTGAGACAAAGCGCTGCACGCAGTGTTTCCATCACAGAGCTCACTAAGGCCCTGTTGTGCCTAAGGCCCTGGCAAAACAAAGGGGAAACCAGGAATTCTGAAATCGCAGAATTCATACAGAGCTACATGAGAATAGAAAACATTTATAGGTATTTGTCTACACATTTTTTTTTCTTACTTTTATCCTAAACTAGCATTGAGTACAATCTTGACAGGAGTATGTCATCAAGCTTGGCTATACAGATTTCTTTCGAATGAATTCCAGGCCCTATTTTACATAGTTGTCATCACTTAGCCTACTGGTCCATGAAAGGCTTTTAGTTTCTATCCATCACTAACTCAAAGGCCTCTATGTCACCAGATGGTGGTGGAGCACGCCTTTTAATCCCAGCACTTGGGAGGCAGACAGGGGAATCTCTGTGAAATTGAGGCCAGTATGGTTTACAAATGTTCCAGGACAGCCAGAGCTAACCAGTGAAACCCAGTGAAACTCTGTCTTAAAGAACAAACAAACAAATAAATAAAATAAATTTTTTAAAAAGTCATCTATGCTCCATAAATACTAGTGTTTTTTTTTTTTAATTTATTTTTATTTTCTCTGGCTTTAGTTTTTTTTCCTTTTCTTTCTTTCTTTCTTTTTTTTTTTTTGCCTGCATAATATATATCTATGTGAGGGTGTCAGATCCCCTAGAACTGAAGTTACAGACAGTTGTGGGCTGCCATGTGGGTGCTAGGGATTGAATCTGGGTCCTCTGAAAGAGCCAGTGCTCTTAACTTCTGAGCTATCTCTCCAGCCACAATACTAGGATTTTTAAAAAATATTTCTGGCTGAGCACAATATACAAAGAAATTTCTAACAAGTAACAATATCTAAACACAGGAAAATAACCCTTAATGGACTGTGTTGACATACGTCACTACTGTGAGCAGCAAAATACCCTTCCCAGGCATGGTGGAGGCTCATACCTTTAGTCCCTGCACTTGGAAGGCAGAGGCAGGTAGAACTCTGAGAGTTCAAGGACAGCCTGGTCTATACAGCTGTCTCCAGGACAGCCAGGGAGAATATACAGTTAAACCCTGCCTTAAAAAATAAACAACTCAAAAATAAAATAAAATAAAATAAACAACTCAGCAGGGTGGTGGTGGTGCAGGCTTTTAATCCTAGCACTAGGGAGGCAGAGGCAGGTGTTTCTCTGAGGCTGAGGCTAGTGGGCTTCAGGACAGCCAGGGCTATACAGAGAAACCTTGTCTAGAAAGTAAATTAATAAAGGAATAATTATGACTCATTCTTTCAGGGTCCCAAACACATTGTTGAGAAATACCAATAATGCTTTCTCTATTTTGAGAAAACCCACGGTACCTGTGATATCAACAAGTCACATTAGCTCTATGCTCCCATTCAACAGAATGAACCATTAGTATTTTCTAAATTAATCAATTCCAGAAGCCTAAGTATGAAAAAGATAACTCAAGGAAATGCTCAAGCTTTCCCACATGTCTTAGCACTTCACAATGTGAGGGGTTCGGTATGGACTAATGGGAACACCTGCATTCAGAAGAGGCGCCACTCACTCAACTGTGTAGGACATACCCAATGGCAGCAGGGGTCAGGCGGGTGTGCAGCTGAGGGGTGGCAGAGGTGGTGGTGGTGGTTAGGGAGCCGTCAGTTCCACTCTTCTCCCAGTCAAAGGGGTCGCTCTCAATCACTCCAAAGGTCTTGATGCTATTGTCAAACACGGAAGTAAGAAGCTAAACCACAAAGAAAAAAACTACAGTGAGCCAACAGTAATATACTTAACATTCTTCTATAGCAGAAAGCATACCAGAACCACAAAAAAGATTTATGATATGATTTCCTTCAAAATTTATGGTTTAAAGAAGGAAACAAACTGGGACTGTGTGGATGACAGTAAGAAATTAATGATCATTAATTAACTAATGTTGATTTTGGTACCAGTATATAGCTGTATGAAAAATTCTGTTTATAGAAGATATATAATACAGTCTTTTATTTATAACCTACTTTCAGTCTAGTAAAAGAAAGTATGGAATGTGATTATATATAGTCATATATGTTTAGGCTAACCACTTATTTGGTTATTTATCTATTTGTAAAGAGGACTTTTTTATTTTATTGATATTTATTGAGCTCTACATTTTTCTCTGCTCCCCTCCCTGCCTCTCCCCTCCCCTCTTCAATCCTCCTCCAAGGTCCCCATGCTCCCAATTTACTCAGGGGATTTTGTCTTTTTCTACTTTCTACTTCCCATGTAGATTAGATCTATGTAAGTCTCTCTTAGTGTCCGCAATGTTGTCTAAGTTCTCTGGGATTGTGGTTTGTAGGCTGGCTTTCTTTGCTTTATGTTTAAAAACCACCTATAAGTGAGTACATGTGATAATTGTCTTTCTGTATCTGGGTTACCTCACTCAAAATGTTTTCTAGCTCCATCCATTTTCCTGCAAAATTCAAGCTGTTGTTATTTTTTTCTGCTGTGTAGTACTCCATTGTGTAAATGAACCACATTTTTCTTATCCGTTCTTCGGTTGAGGGGCATTTAGGTTGTTTCCAGGTTCTGGCTAAGACAAACAAAGCTGCTCTGAACATAGTTGAGCACTTGTCCTTGTGGCACAATTGAGCATCCTTTGGATATATATACCCAAAAGTGGTATTACTGGGTCTTGAGGAAGGTTGTTTCCTAATTTTCTGAGAAATTCCCACACTGACATCCAAAGGGGTTATAGCAGCTTGCATTCCCACCAGCACTGCAGAAGTGTTCCCTTTTCCCCACAACCTCTCCAGCATAAGTTGCCATCAGTGTTTTTGATCTTGGCCATTCTTACAGGTGTAAGACAGAATCTCAGAGTTGTTCTGATTTGCATTTCTCTGATGACTAGCATGCTGAACATTTCCTTAAGTGTCTTTCAGTCATTTTAGATTTCTCTGTTGAGAGTTCTCTGTTTAGGTCTGTACTCCATTTTTTTTTATTGGATTATGTGATCTTTTGGTGTCAATTTCTTGAGTACTTTGTCTATTTTGGAGATCAGACCTCTGTCTGATGTGGGATTAGTGAAGATCTTTTCCCATTCTGTAGGCTGTCGTTTTGTCTTGTTGATTATGTCCTTTGCCTTATAGAAGCTTTTCGGTTTCAGGAGGTCCCATTTATTTATTGTTTCTCTCAGTGTCTGTGCTGCTGGGGTTGTATTTAGGAAGTGGCTCCCTGTGGCAATGCATTCAAGTGCACTTCCCACTTTCTCTTCTATAAGGTTCAGTGTGGCTGGCTTTATGTTGAGGTCTTTGATCCGATTGGACTTGAGTTTTGTGCATGGTGATAGATATGGGTCTATTTTCATTTTTCTACATGTTGATATCCTGTTATGCCAGCACCACTTATTAAATATGCTTTCTTTTTTCCATTTTATATGTTTTGCTTCTTTATCAAAGATTAGGTGTTTGAAGATGTGTGGATTGATATCTGGGTCTTCTATTTGGTTCCATTGGTCCTCCTGTCTGACCAGGCTGTTTTCAGTACTGTGGCTCTGTAGTAGAGTTTGAAGCCAGGGATTGTGATGCCTCCAGAAGTTCTTTTATTGCACAAGACTGTTTTGGCAATCCTGGATTTTTTGCTTTTCCAAATGAAGTTGAGTACCGTTCTTTCGAAGTCTTTGAAGAATTTTGCTGGGATTTTGATGGGCATTGCGCTGAATCTGTATCTGTAACTTCTAAATGTTTACATATGTTTTTTGTTGTTGTTGTTTTTGACAGGGTCATTATATTTTTTTGTTGTTGTTATTTTTGTTTTTTTTTTTGTTTTTTTTTGTTTTTTTTTTGAGACAGGGTTCTCTGTAGCTTTGGTGACTGTCCTGGAATTTGCTCTGTAGCCTCAGGCTGGGTTCAAAATCAAGAGCCTGCCTCTGCCTCCCGGGTGTTGGGATTAAAGGCATGTGCCACCTCTGCCCAGCCAAATATTTTTAATAACAATGACTTTAACTAAAATGTATTTTCTAAAGAATTTGGCTTAATACCTACCCACATACAACCCACAAAGATGTTTGATGCTAGTTTCCAGCCATGGCTGGACACAGACTCAGTGGATTAATATTTCTCTTATCTTTAGCACAAATCCAATCAATAACAATGTCATTTATCTCCACATTAAAAATTAATTTGCCATTTCAAAGAAAATGGACAGGAATTATTTGTAGTATGATATACTGAACTTCACTGAGGTTCTTTTTTTTTCCCTTTCTTTCTTTCTTTCTTTTTTTTTTTTTCGAGATAAGGTTTCACTATAGTTTTAGAGCCTGGCCTGGAACTAGCTCTTGTAGACCAGGCTGGCCTCAAACTCAGAGATCCACCTGCCTCTGCCTCCCAAGTGCTGGAATTAAAGGTGTGCGCCACCACCCGACAATTTCTGAATTCTAATTGAATAAACACAAACTAGTGGCTCAATAAAGCACTCACCCCAGAGAATATAATAGCGGCGTGGCTGACTCAGAGATCATTCAAAGCAAAAGAAAGTACCTCACTTCAGTGACACAAAAGTAGGTGAAAGATGTAAAGAAATGCACATAACTTTTGCTTCTTTGATATTTGGGGCATTTTGGCTATATGGGAGCAAAACTTGTATTGCACTCTGGTGAACAGATCCAGCAAGACAGAGGAAACAATTAAAATTAAAAGGATACACAGCATCAGCTGTTTTCAAGGTTTTCTTTTTAACTTTTTAAGTTTTTCTTTATTTTAAATTTTATGTGTATTAGAAATTGCCTGAATTTATGTATGCATACCATCTGTGCTTGGTACCCAAGGAAGCCAGAAAAAGGCATGAGATGCCCTGAAACTGGAGTTAAAGATGGATGTAACTCACAAAGGTGCTAGAGCACACCTTTGTCCTCACCAGAGGGCACAACATGCAGCTTGGATGTGACCTTTATCATAGGGCACAGCACTAGCTTGGGTATGGCTCTCTTTTATTAAGGTGGTATTCCACAGAACTAGCCTCTAAGCCAGAGAGCTGGCATCTTAACAACACCAGCAATGTCTGCTTAGAAATGTTCATAGCTAGGCTTGTTGACTGTTGAAGATCCTTCACAGAAGAATATCCAATATAATTCTAGACAATATCCCAGAATTATTGTTATGTTGCTGTAACTCCCAGCTAGTTGTATGCAAATCTGTCGGGGCTGTATGAGGTCTTGAGGGGAAGAGCTAGAATATACACACTGAGAAAAACTCGGGAGAAGGAGGAGGCATTGTCCATATAGAGTGAAGACTTTCTTTCCAGTCTAGCTGTTCTCAGGCCACCCACACTTCTGTGAGTAACTCCTCATTCATGTGCTATAAGTAAGCCCAATAAAATAAATTCACTGGTCCCTCAGGTTGAACTCTGGTGAAACTGAGTTCTGACTTGTCACTACCATCGCTTAGTCTTTTCCCAAGGAGAAAATTCTCACAACAGATGGGAAATTTATTAGTTTTTATGATTCATGGTATAAGAAAGAAAGTCAGTAAATAGAAGAAAATGTTAGAAGAATGAAAAAATGGGCCAGGTGATGGTGGCACACACCTTTAAATCCCCACACTCGTGAGGCAGAGGCAGGCAAATCTGTGAGCCTGAGGCCAGTCTGGTCTACAGAATGAGTTCCAGGACAGGTACCAAAGTTACAGAGAAACCCTATCTTAAAAAACAAACAGGGCTGGAGAGATGGCTCAGAGGTTAAGAACACTGGTTGCTCTTCCTGAGGTCCTGAGTTCAATTCTCAGCAACCACATGGTGGCTCACAACCATCAGCAATGAGATCTGGTGCCCTCTTCTGGCCTGAAGGCATACATGCAGGAAGAACACTGTATGCATAATTAATAAATAAGTCTTTAAAAAAAGGTGTGTGCCACCACCACCAGGCAGAGAGCATTTTCTTAATTAGTGATTGATGGGGGAGGATGTGAGACTAAAACAGGAACAATATACTTTACAGGTTAAGGGTTCTGCTTGCAGTTAAAAGTAAATTCTTGTTTGTCCTATGCTAAGTCCTTATAAATTAAGGTTTCTATTTGTAATTAAGAACAAGTTCTGGTCTCGAAAAACTAAACAAAAAAAGAAAGAAAGAAAGAAAGGAAGGAAGAAAGGAAGGAAGGGAAGAAAAGAAAGAAAAAGAAAAAAAGGAATAGACTCATGCCCGGCAGTGGCCGTGCATGCCTTTACTTCCAACACTTGGAAGGCAGAGGCAGGTGGATCTCTGTGAGTATGAGAACAGCCTGGTCTACAGAGTGAGTTCTGGGACATACAGGGCTACACAAAGAGACCCTGTCTCTCAAAAACAAAACAAAACAAAAAGAAAGGACTCACACAGAAGCTCAAGAATAATTAGAGCTTAGAAGAAAACACCAGGGCCAGGCAGAGGTGGTGGCACACGTTATTAATCCCAGCACTCGGGAGACAGAGGCAGGTGTATCTCTGTGAGTTCGAGGCCAGCCTGGTCTACAAGAGCTAGTTCCAGGACAGGCTCCAAAATCACAGAGAAACCCTTGTCTAAGAAGAAGGAGGAGGAAGAAGGAGGAGGGGAAAGAGGAGGAAGAGGAGGAGGAAGACATGACAAGCGAGCTGCAGACCTTGGCGACTGCCTGGTGGAGAAGAGGGTTGAACACATGTCTGGGAGAGAAGCTCCCAGAAGCTTCCAGAGCATCAGGAAAAAGCATAATTAGGCTCTGGACAGTATATGAAAGAAAGACAGAAGAAAAAGAAAAAGCC